AATTCAATTCCTTCCATTATGCTAAGGAATGATGAATTCCTTAACTTGTTGAATTCATTGGAATTTGAAGGATTCCATCCATTTCAAGAAATGAACCAAACAAATGAATTAGAATTTGGTCAAAGGAATTTATCATTCTAATTCCGTCAAATTCCTTCGAATTCCGCGAACCAAACGGCCCCTAAAGGTTGAACTTAACAAGAATTACAAACACCACATGTCAGCATAATAAGTGGGTGATGAGAAGAAACAAAAACAAACAAAGAACATGAAACCACATTGCAGAAACATGTGGGATAAATCTTGAAAGCAAGAATGTGGGTCAAATCAAGATTTAAGGCAACACCATCCTCCTGGTTTGGTTGCAAACTTATCTGCCCTTTGGTAAGCTTTCTTTAAATTTGCTTCACCTTTTAGGGTTCTTCAGCGAAGTTGACGTTTGTCATGTACCGAGTGACCGTCAGTTAAATCAATCCTTCGCCTGTATCCAACAAACCGAAATGGGGTTTTGGTCAAATCACACATATTAGAAGAAGAAATCATCATCTGAATCCCCTTGAAACTGGGGTAATTATAGCAACCAGCACTTACGTAGTTCATCAAAAGATATACTGCTAATGCTTTCTCCTGTTTTGAAGAGACGAATTTTTCCTGCAAGATGAACGTCATTGTTTATTAACATAGTTGAAGCTAAGCAACGCAAAATCTTATTATCACGTGGTACACCCACTATGGGTCGTATTGATGTTGGGCAAATCGGTGTTTAATATTAGAAAAGTTATTGCAAGTGTCCAATAAAGTGTTCTAGACACTTAAGAGGGTGTTTGATTTCAGCTTAATAAGCTTAATGGGTGGTTAGCTTAGTTAAATTAAGCTATATTAAAATGTTTGATTTTAACTTGATACTAAGTAATGGGCTTAGCATGGTAAGCCAGACCCACCCTATCTTAATGCATTAAGCTAAGGTTTTTTCTAAAATTACCCTAGACCACGTCTCATTAAAAAATAATATTCGACAAGCAAATGCATAAATTAAAAATTATAATCAAACAATGATGCTTAATTGTTTTAAATATATTTTAATTGTGTAATGAAGTTGTTGAAGTTATATTATTTATGTTATTATAAATAATTCAAACAATGGTTTTTGTAATCCAGAAAATTTATCAAACAGTCAATTTTCATTCAATACTTATGTAGACACAAGGTTAAAATGGTAATGCTTGTTATTCAGACTATGTATTCACAACAAAATCAAACAACTTCTTATCTCAGTTTATCCGCACATATTAATGCTTACAAACATCTTTATAGATACAGGGCTTAATTTGAAAGAAAACAAATCAAACAGCCCCTTAGTGTGCATGTTGTGATTGCATAGGTGTTAACTCCAACGAGATACGAAAAATTACAAGATAGGTGAGTTTCATGTGATATTATGAGATGCACACCAATGTTTTTAGTATTTGAAAGTTGATGTATGGTATGGCTTTATTGTTTTATGTTATTAACATGCCAAATGTAATTTGCTACATTATGGCATGAAAATGTTTAGTATGTATCTGGGCCAGGATGCATGTAACTTCGCTAAGGTTTGTCAAGGTGTGTCCAAAAGGAGATGACCAATGAGCTCATCTAAGTCATGTCATAAGGAGACTTGGTGACCCACACCATACAGCGAGAAAATGAGATCTCAAAGGGGATTATGATATTTTATGAGCATGCTAACGAGTGTCATAGCATCATACACTGCAGCACTTATCATCTTACTTTTATTCTCCTAACTACAAAAATGGAGCCTTTATTTTTATTTTGTTATTAATCGAGTCTGAAGCTAAATTATATGTAAATTAAGAATGAAAAGAGTAATAGTTGGTTGCTATAGCAGGTCGGTCTGGGCGGTGACGGCTGAAGATGGTAGCTGGTACTTTTGTGAAGATCTTATCTATTTCCTGAAATCATAGAGCCAAGCTAAAATTGCACATGGAGAACGCCTTGGATCACCTTTTGACTACTTTACCTTCAAGTTTTTACATGTTGGTTCTAATGTTTGGGGCCACCTTTAATAGTATATGAAGGGTGCGTCTATCTTCTTAACATCCTCAAGCATTCTAAGCTTAGTTCTCGGTTCTTGTAATCGGTTTCTATCGAATTTGGAAAGCATGTGATAGGGGAAATCTTTTGGCTAATTTTCTTCTTCTTTACATTACTGCAGAAAGTTTACTTTCAAGCAATTTAGTTTCATGTCTTTGCTTAAGGCAATGATGGGATAAGTACCTTAGCTTGGGTGTGAGACTGTGAGTGAAGGTTGGAAGATTATGCCAATGCGCTAGTGGATAATTGTTTTTTCTGTAGTGATCAACTCCATTTTTGTTTTAATATTTCATATATAGAAGACAATGCAAATATTAGAGTTTTGAGCGTTATAAAAATGTTGCAGATCAATTATACTCTATTCGGAAAGAAGTAGAAGTGTGCAGAGCACGAACTCCAAAACCCGAACCGGAAATAAGGTGTTTGTGCAAAACCCCGAATGCCCCAAGATCTGAAAATCCGAAACCTGACTTTTGGGGGATATTTGGGTTCAGGCTGGGTTTGATTTTTGGCCACCCGACCCATCTAAAAACCCAAAATATAAATACATATATATTGTAAATATTATATAAATACTAGATAGTACTCGCGCAATCCAACGAGATATATCTCGATTTTAATTGTTTCATTTTATTCCGTCTTTGTAGATGTTATAATACGGTTTCATGTGGTTTTGAGAAAGCGATAATGTTTTCATTTTTGAATAAAATATAAATTTGAAGATATCATAAAATTTCGAAAATAAATATATCAATATCAATATCAAATTAACTACTTACAAGTTCTTGTTTTTTTGTATATTTTCTTTAATTCAATTTTATTATTATAATTTAATTTAGACTTAATAACGAAGTAATTTATTTTTGATTTAATAATAAATTTTTTATAAGAATAATAATTAAGTATTTTGTTAGAACTCAAATGATTCTCCTAATTATATTTTTAGATTTTTTATATTTAAAATGAAATGTTTATCTTATATTTTTTACTATGTTTATCTGCATTTAGTTACACGAATTCACACATGAAGCGTTAATAAGTTGTACTTACGCACAGTTTATTTGTAATCTTGAACTTTAAGTAATATGCATTAATAAACAGTACTTCATGCATAAAAAATGGTTTTTAAGAGCTTTTGTCAAATGTTTTATAATATAGTATAGATATTTAATTATCTAATTATCTTTTGAAAATCCTAAATCCTAGTCGGTTATACTCTTTTCTAATTTCTAAACCTACTATTGATTTCATCAATCCTTTCAATTGATTGAATATATCTTTTTGTATTATAACTATAGTTGAACCCGACTTGAACCCGAACCAATCTAAAGTTTGAAATCTAAAACCCAAAATTTGGGGCTTGGTTTCCATATCTGAAATCCAATCGGATTTTTGGTCTGCCCACCCGAGCATGCCGGACCCGCCCCGTCTGATACACACCCCTAGAAAGAAGGGTAAGATTTGTGCCATGCTTCGATTTGTGTTCATCATAGATGCTATGAGCCTCTACTACCGAGTCACTAATTTGAACTTCGAAATGCCCTTTAATCTAATAGTTTGATGTTGAAAGCTATTGTTGCAGCAACCTCATTTATGTTCTAGCAAGGTTCTATTGCACTTTGAGTTGAAATTACAATCGGAACTTACACCATGCTTTTACTTCTTGTTTAAATCATTAATTAACACTCACCAAAAACAATTTCATCGAATTCGCCATCTAAAAATTTACTTTAAACTTGACTTACTTAACTTTCTTGTCCCTATTGATCAATATTTGGTACTCTTACCATTATTACTTGTTTTTAAACCAATATGGGTTGAGCATGTATACTTGCATGATCCTCCTGTAGCTATAACCTTTCTATGGTTATATTTTAGACAACGCATTTCCATGTGAATGTTGTTTTTATGTATGCATAAGTATCTTATGAAGAGTTCATCGTTGTTATGTTTGCTTGTGGTACATGTGAGAAGTATAAAATGTGGTTTATGAAAGCAAGTAGGGATAATTTGTTTGCCAAAGTTTGTTGGAAGTTGTATTGACCTGTTTTAAATGATAAATCATAAACTCACTAAGCTTACTAGTTGAATTGTAGCATGTGACGGCAAGCCAATGGTGAACAAGGGTAAGGAGAAGGTCTAGCATAGTCTAAGCCTAGAGATTATCATGACACGTGTTTATGCGTTCAGTATTTAATCGTTGTGCTTGTATGCCATAGATGCTTGTATTAGACATAGTAGTTGTCGAAGTCTTTGGGTGTTATTTCAATTAAGATGTCTGTAAGATATTTTGTTGCGTATTATTTAAGTTGTGATGACATGTCTTTATGAGTTCATATTTGTAAGTTATGTTGTCATGTCCCCTATGGGAATTTAGAGGTGTGATAATCTGACTGAAATGTTCTTTCGCCCTTTCTTTTCCTTTCTTCTCATGAAAAAACAAAATGGATTTCTTTTAAATAGTTTGATGATTTTAGATCACATTCAGACATTACAACTTTACAAGTAAAAGTATTTACAATTTTAGATCCACTTCACACACAACATGTATCTATACTACTTTATAAAGCAAATTCATAGAAGTCTTAAAAACAAGTTCTAATGCATGAAGCACTACTTATTAATGTGTCAAGTCTTAAAAACAACTTTTGTTGCATATAATACTACTTTTTGAAGCACAATTATTTAAAATCTCTTAATGACGATAAATTTATGCATAACGTACAACATACTAGTACTACATCAAGACTCTCAGATCATCTTCCCAAGATACAAAATCGCTTTTATACACGCACATTCTAATGGCTTCTCTTCCCAAAGTGACGATTTCGATTCCTCAAAATGGCGATTCAATCTCCCGATGAATGCAAATACAATTACAAACACGGTTAGGGTTCTTATTGATATCACTCCTCTACCGATTCAGGATCATTGTTCCTTGTTCCATTGTCGATCCATCCATATTCCAATCTAGGTAATTTCTTTTGTTGTTTAGGGTTTATCGATTGTAATTCTTTTTTGTTGTTCTTGAACTCTCTTGTGGGTCAAAGGGTTTGGAATCTATAGCATGTTAAACCTTGTGGCATTGTCCAGTCAAGCGTAAGGATTTGTTCACTCTTTTCATTGATTTCGTATCATTGTTGGTATTAGATTTGATTTCATCTGATCTAATCTGATTAACTAGGGCTTTATTGCTAAGCCAGAATCTCTTCCCGATCGGGCAATTTGATGGTTTGGCAGTGCAGCATACTTGGTAAGGTCGGGATAAGTTCTCATCATCTCTCACTGTTTACGAAATTAATTTACACTTCCCATACTGCATTTGTAATGATGTAAGGTCTTCTTTTTCTTCATATGTGATGATGGCAGTTTGGGCATGAGGATCTAACATTTGATACCACCGACTAAACAATGGTTTATTATTGGATTTTGTGAAGTTCTGAAGGTTGCATGTCACTTGATGCTACAAATAGTCTAAGTTGTTGATCGTGTCCGATGATAGTTCTTTTATTTTCCTAGTAACCACCTAAATGGGGTTTAACAGAAGGCATAAACAGAACTATAGTAGGTTCATTTTACTTTGTAAAAATGATTATGTAAGCATAAAAGAATTAGACTTTTGATACAATATTATTTGTGCAATTACTCTTTTTACAGAAGAATCAAAAAGTTCCCTTCAAACTCCAAATTAGAGAAGCCAATTGATGATCACAGGTTTGATATGCTGATTGATCACTTCTTAATTTTTTAAATGCTTACTCCTAGCAAGTTATAAATCAGATTGGTTTTTTGCTATTTACATGTTTACTACTTAGTTGTCAAGTTTGCTAACTAGTTACCACAAATAATTCAAATTATTATAGCACTTAAAGCAAAGCTAATTAACTTGTTATAAATTCCAAAGGTTCACCTGCTTGTGGGTATATTATCCCATCGAGGAGATGAAAGACACTCACTTTCATTATCGACGATTATTGTCTGTGGAGGATCAATTTAGAAGGATATGATGCATGGTTATATTATTGTCTTCTTCATGTGTGTTGGTAGTAAATAATACTAATCTTATTGTCATTCTAAACCACATGTAATATAATTATGGTTTTTTCATCTTAGGATTATTAGTAAAATTGACAACAATAGTATACAATAGTATTTACATAATTAAAAGAAGCATCGATGGTATTTCCATAACTAACAACATAGTGCAACAATAGTATTTTCATAATTAAGCAACTCTATAAATATAAATAGGGATTAGGTGAAGTCAAGTATTATGCTTGATGGGTTGGGTTCCAGTGAGAAGTTATGGTGAGAAGCGTACAAAGAGATCTCCACCCGTGGATCAATCCTATTGAATGTCAACACTAATGAAGTGCACCGAGATGCACAGGATCAATTCCCTTCTAAAGTGCGATTCATGGGTGGGCATGAAATTAAGTGACCAAGCGCTTAGATCTCTTCTTACGCTTCTCACCATAACTTCCCTTTTCACACGATCCTTCACCTATGCTTGTTTTAACCATATTTACCCGATATGGATATGAGGGCCAATGGCAAGAAAAGCTTATGGGTTTTCTCATGGACCTAATGGCAGAAATGATTTTGGCCTACCAAGGGTAATGGGTTGACAACACATCAAACGGGGATAAAAATTGCTAGTCCCACACTTCACTGTCCCCTCCACCAATTAGATGGATCCACATCATCCATTTATTGAGAGAGAATAAAAAGACAAATTAAATAAAATAATGATATGCCATTACGTGATTTATGGGTCATAAAGGGAACAAGAATGGAAGGTTAAATTTTGGGGTCAAGGGGAGATTTGAAGTTGGACAATTTCAGTGGCATCTAAGAGGCACACACGCCAACGACTACGATGGAGGCCTCGAGGACTCGGGGATACAAGGGACACACAAGGGATACAAGGGTGACTCTAGGATCCCGGATCAATTGTGAATGACTCATAAAATAATTTTTGGACCTTCACCTTGAGGACAAGGTGTCTTTTTGGTAGGGGAGTAATGCTAAGATTTTTTCCTTCCAGGTTTACTTATAAGGATTAATTAGTAGAATAGGCAATGACATTGTTTCCATGATAAAAATAACAAATGATAGTATCTCGATAATAAAACAATAATATTTCCATAAATAAAATTACAGGATTAGAAGAAGTGAAGTATTATGCTTGATTCGATTGGAGTTGCACATCTTGGGAGAGAAACTACCTCTTGAGAATATTTATTTGGGGTTGGCTCTATGCTTGGGAAAAAAATCACATGTCCCTGTTCCTCCAATTGAATTTCGACATGTGTAAAGGTACATGGGGCCAATACATAACTGTAGGGGGTGGTTATGTAAATGTTCATATATAAATTAAATAAATGGCAGCGGGAGAGAGAAAGATGACATGTCAAATCCTATTTGAGGGACATGGAGAGAATAGGGAAGGTGATTTTTGTTCCCTATGCGTGTGCCATACATCTAGACTACTATGGTGGTTCAATAACTTAGCAATTCCTGTTTATTAGAATGATGGCTTGAGCAAAGGCAAAATTTAAGCACTTTTGATCTCATATATAGATTCAGATGAACCTATGCACTAGATATAAATCCCAAGCCTCCAACCTAAGAAACAAAATTTCAAACAATCTTCTCATCGAGTTCCTTCTATATCTGTTATAATTAATCTTTACTGCAACTTCATATGCAAAAATTATGTTTGAACATATAGATTTGTCTCTCCAAGTAGACCCACTTTCCTTCATAAAAGAGTAAGAAGTCTATTTCTGAACACCAATCTACAGATTTATCATCTTAAATAGTTTCTATCTCTAGCTTCCCAATGTCCCTTGGACTCCTGACTATTTCAGACTCATCCCTTCTTGACCTCTAACTGAATATACATACATACATTTCAGACTCATCACCAGATACTAAAGTGAGAGACGGCTCCACAAATACCCAAAACACAGTAGGAATCGTCATATATTCAACTATTTTCAACTTAATACCCTTGATGTAACATTACAGCAGCCATGGGGCCAAAATCCTTGTTGGTCTTTTATCATCTGCAACCATCTCTATGTCTTGGCCAGCATCAGCAACCTTTTTAATTGTAACTGACCCAATTATAAGGTTCATCTATGGGGTAACTGTGTGATTTATATAATTCCATCAGAATGGACAAGTGCACCTGGCTTCATAAAATACCTCTTTGCCACAGCAACAGCTCCCAACCCACTTTATTTCTATCAGTTTGTCAATAATTGAATATAACCTATTTAAACATTTGTTTTTTGTGGCTGAAGATGAATCATCAAGCAACTTCGCATTGTTGTATCATCTTTATGCAAATGGCAAAAAACAAAATTGGGAAAATAGTGATCACACTTTTCTGCATGTTTACTTTTGGTTATTTAGACTCCAGAGATGAGGTACTAATTATAGGAAATAAATGTTATGTCTTCTCAGTAGATTAAGGATTTTACATCACATCAAATATCAAAATTGGTTCTACTATCTGATCTGACTGAATTTATAGTCCATATGTGGTATCACAATGATTTGAGCACCAGGGAGAGAGATAGATGCAGCAGGGTGGATGGGTGTGTGTGTAAAATAAGCCACAAAAAATAAGAATAATATGTGAACAAAATTATGAGATAACGAGGGAAGGAAGTATTATGAGTGATCATGGTGCAGTCAAGTAATTTGGGTTAAAGATGGCTGACAAAAGTGTCGAGGACCTTTTCATATCATTATCCACCCCATTGATTTATTGCAAACATCACAATTGAAACTTAGGTAATTAGGAAAGACAAAGAAAGACATGTTAATTGCAACATCAGTAAAAAACAAGCGTATTCTGTGCACGAAACCTGTTTAAAGGTTCACACATTTATACATGCATTCGCCGAAAGTTTGAGAATGTGAAGCACCTCGAGATCTCTCTTATAGCCTCTGGAAGCACTGAACTCAATAATACTATGCATTTGCCAATAACTTTCCCTCCTTCCTAAAGCTAAAAACTAGGCAGCTAACCCTTCCCACAGCTCCGTTATCTAAATCCAGAGTCCATCTAATGAAAGATTAAACAGCAGAACTTATACCAACCAGGACATAAAAATTTACAGCCAAAAACATCAAAATTTCTGTCCTACTCCTGATGAAAATAAGATTGCTTAAATCGATATACAAGTCCTTTCTAATGCTCTTGCATCATTATTAGTGAGTTAACATGCAAGTCACAAACCCACATATGTTATCCATAGATCAAATCTATACATGGAAATAGGTTGTGAAAAGCAAGCTGTTTGTGGGTGGATTAAACTTTGTAGCTTTGATTGATGATGAGAAGCCTTAGTGGAAGTTTAAGGTATAACAAACAAGAATATAATAGAATAAAAAAGTTTTATATGCACAGAATAGACATGCTATAGACACTCTAATTGACTGAATACGCATGCATGTCAGTCCTTATTAGTTCAGTAAGTTAGAATAGAATACCACATTGCATTAATTAGAGTAAAGAAATGATTTACTAAGACAGGGTTGTACCATCACGACGAATGCAGATCTCTGGTATGTTTTTAACTTCTCCATTGATACTGTCATTGTAAACTCTGGTTTCAATATCACCCTCGATATAAACTGAAGAGCTGTAAGGAGATCCCACATCAGAAGAAAATAAAGATGCAAACACATGTAAATCAAGAGAATCGTGTTCACAAAATTTTGGTAAATATATATATATATATATATATATATATATATACTTCTTGGCAAGTTGTTGAACTGCATAAGCACTGAGTGCGTCATTGTGTACAGCAATACGATGCCATTGAGCTGGTTTTGGCAAATCTTTGGCTCCAATTGTTCTTTGATCAAACATGCCTCCTGTCCCAACAGTGAAGATGGTAACAGTTCTACCATTCCTGAGGATCTTTTGCAGAGGTGGTTGCCCAACCTTTCCACATATAATTGCCTGTCAATAGAGAAGAGGTAAATCAAATTCAATAAGTCAATAACAACAACAACAATTATAATAATAATAATAATAATGCCTCAATCCCATAATCAAAGTCCATTGTTCTAGCCCAGCACTTCAAGATTCAAATTTGACTCTGCTGTTTCTAGGTTAGCTTCAAAATTTTCTTTTGTCATACTTAGCTTCTGTAAATGTAGTTATGAATACTTACCATACACCTTGAACAATTCTCATCAGTTGTTAAGTTAAAAGGTAATCCTTTTTCACAATAACAAAAAAAGTGGCCTCTTCTTTTCGGACAGATGTAGTAGTATAAATGAGAACCTTTTTATTGATTTCATGAAAATTGCCTAAAATCCATGAGGCGTGTCTGAACCAACTTCGTCTTCTTCAAAATGAAAAAACACGCCACCAACAACAAAATGATTGATGCAAATGATTTACTGTTTCTGAACTGAACAGAAAAACAACTTAAGCAAGGAATCCACCATGAATAAGTTCATCTTTTGGGTGTTGAGTTTAAGCACACTCCTCTTCAATTTTATCAAAGCGGAATGTGGTTGCTGAGGTTTTAACATTACTGTTCAATATAATCCCACAACAACAAGAACTACATTTGCTGCAAATGATCCTATTCCTTACACATGACAGTCTGATGCAAATAACATGCTTTGTATTAAGCTCCTCCTGGCAAGTACTCCACTAAGAAGCAAGGGTTGCTTCTCCTCCTTGCTGAATAATATCCATTTTGGGAGCTTCAAAATGCAGCTATTCTGGGGTATTTTGACTATCTTCCCAAATTATTGACCTTAATCAATACAAGAATCAGTAAAAGCATGGTTTTCAATATCGTTTGAGGCGTAGGCCTCGAGGCAAGGCGGTCCAAAATCGCTCATGAGGCGCCGCCTCATGGTCGCTGGACGAGGCTTAAGCCTCAATTGGTGAGGCGGTGCCTTGAGGCGTGAGGCGGCGCACGCCTTAGTTTGCTGCTGCCTTAGTTCGTTGAAAATAGGTGCCTGATGAGATGAGAATAAAAAAATTACTTGAGTTTTTTTACGTAAAGTCAAACACTCAAGTGTACTTTATAATTTAAAGGTACAAAGAATCCTATTATAGGATGTACTTTTATCTTATCAATCAAAAACAAAGGTTACCTGTCCATTTCCTAATCCTACTTTTGTCGTCTCCTCCTACTTTCATCTCAGATTTTCTTCTCCTCCTTTCTTCTCCACTGAGAATACCTCTCCAAACCCCATTTTTTTCTTAATTTCTTACCTTTTCCTCTCTCAGAAAGATATTCATCTCGAAGGCCAACCCGAATAGTAAGTTCTTTTTAGTTTGTGATAGCGATTATGGATATGATTGTGGAGCTATACAACTTGATCATGCTACGGGGAACAATAAGTTGTAGATTGATATGTTTTTAGACTTATAGCTAGTAGTTTTATGAATCTATGACTTTTAAAGTTTGTAATGGAATTATGTTCTGCTTACTATTAATATTTATGAATTTTATTTGTTTTATGCATCAAGGCTTGCACCTCGAGGCTTACGCCTCAGGGCGTGGAAGGAAAACGCCTCGAGTCCCAATTCCGTTGTTTAAAACCTTGAGCATACGGGGCAACTTTGGTCTTTTCTTTTGCCAAATTAACATGAAAATTCACAATTTGAAAAATTATAATCAAAGGCTAAAATTTATAGAAAGACAAAACTTAAGTTTTATAATTTCGAATTCGCACAACTGAGAAGCGAGAGCGAACAAGAAGCTAATTTTCTCATAGTTGGACCAATATTGATGAACTAAAAATAAGAGCATCAATTACGTTTTGATGTATTTTTATCTTACATGGTAAAAAATTTATCTTTTAGCAAGCATTATTTCAGAAGCCGGGGATCTTCACTGAAACTCTACTCTTTACTCTTTCTGCATACATCCTGGGTGTCTGTGGCTTAGTTTATGCCTTTATGGTAAATTGTATAGATCATGAAATCATTTCTGCCACTAGTTTGGTTCTAAATTTCTATGCGTATATATATAAACACGTACACATCTGTATAAATGCTCTCTCGCACACCCATCATTTTAAAATCTCAGAACCTCATGCAACTGTAAGTATCACATAAAACAGCGGCAGCTGCCACTGCAATTTTAGCAATTAACAAATGTGTTTTAAAGTGTAAGTAAAAAAGTATAAACTAATTAATTTTAGCATGTTTTTGTGGGTGGTTGGGGGGAGGGGGGTTAGAGGGTTGGCAATGTAGACTATAGATGTCGGTTTGCCTTTGTTACTCTTTATGTATATGTGTTTGTTACTCTTTATGTATATGTGTTCGACCAGTCTTACCTTTCCGTGTGTTCTCAGTGAGCTTCGTATGTTTTCAATTACTTTTATGGTTCGTGCTTCTTTCACAGTATGCTAACACCTCTTGCACAAGTCGAGGGTCTTCATGGAAACAGCCATTTTACCCTGCTGGGTAGACCTTAGGTCTCCACACATCTCGCCCCTCTCATACCCAACTTTCGAATGAGATTTAAGGGTCAGTTTGGTTTCATTTGGTTTTTTTTTAAATTCGCCCTCCCACACATTTTCTAGCTTCTGACTTACCTAAACATAGATACTTGATGCCATAAACTAGTATCAGATCTTAAGCAGTATTTTGAGTACCTTATGCACACCTCGAAACCCCCAACCCTTTCTGGGATCAACCCCTTGCATCTGTAACTCTGGCTTTTCACGCAGAAAATCATCATCATCAATTGTATCACCTTCAATGCCCTCTCCCTCATCACCACTATCCACCGGAACAGATGATGAGTAAAATCTCTTCAAGCTTCCTTCCACGCCCACTGCTGAATAATCAATACATCATTACGTATGTTCTAAACGAACAATTTATTAACTCTTTTCAATACTTCCCATGATTTACTAGAGTTTGTGACTTTATGCACACCATGTGTTTGACGAAGAATGAAAACCCCATTTAGCCTATAATCACATTTATGAATATGAAAAACGAAAACTAAACAAAAACAGACAGCAAAAGATGTACCTGATGAAGTAGTGGATGTGGAAGGAAGGGATACGCGTAATGATCTTGCCAGCTTCCTTGCGAGTGAACTCATGTTTTCAGAGGGGAGAAGGGGGTTGAAGAAGGGTTTTAGGACTTGTAGGGCGAGAAACGGGTTGGGGTCGTTGTTACTTTAAGATAAATTGCAAAAATAATCCCTGAATTATTCAATGATATGCAGTTTTAATCAAACGAACAATTTGTTTTGCACTTTGGTTCATTTATCAAAAAAACTATACGCCATTGCAATTCATTAGTCCAACGGTGTTAAGTAGAGCCGTTAGAATATGCTTACAAATTGTTTGATTTCGTGAGCCGTTAGAATATGCTTACAAATCGTTTGATTTCGTGAAAGATATCCTTCACCCTACATGATGGAGGGTGTTTCAATTAAGACTCGTTTAAATGTGTTTGGCTTTCTAAGTATTAAGAACGAAGGTTTATTTTGTAATTAGCAATGATCCTTTTGTGCTCCTTTCTCGAGCAATACACTAGTTTTCATAGAAAAAATACCCTGGCTAAATATGCGACTCTATAGGGAATAAAAATGAAATTCATAAGACGAAGGACCGAACACTATTAGAGCCTTACAGAGGGTAAATAGACATCAGGAATGAGGAAGTTGCATATGAAAAAGAGGTTTAGAAAAAGCATTTAACCTGAATTAGTATATATATTCCCATATGTTGATAATGAGGTTGTAGTTGTATATAAGCAAAACATTAAAAATCGTACAATTTGATCTATGGTTGTGATGTCATCACTTTGATAGATGTCAGCACTAGTCTGCTCAACGAAGAATTGTGTGATCAAATGAGGTGTTTAGGTTTGGGGCAAGTTAATATAGGTAAATAAGTTATGTTTGTTGATATAGACTGTTTGGGAGGATGGTTTGCGGGCGCTCCAACTCCTAGAATCCCAATTTGGGGAGCAAGTTCAAAGAAGTTGGGTTGTGCAGTTATTGCAAGAAACTCGGGCATGAGATGATTTTTTTCTCGTAAATCAAAGAGTAAGTAGAGACATAGGGAATGATCTTGTTTGCGATTAGCGATGATCTCATTTAGTTCGTAGTTGATTCTCCATTGTTGGTGCATAGCATGATATCCAGTATGGTTGTTCCCAAATGTTTGTTGAGTAGTTGCAAACGATGTTTCAATCAAGAATGATGTTGATCCTCTCTCTCAGTGATTTGATGATAATCCCTTTTTCCTTTCACGTTGTATTTGTGTCTCTGTATTTTCAGTTCCAGCGATCATCAC